GAATTCATATAAAAATTTTCTCTTTAAATACACACCCTCTTTAAATGCACATTTTTTAAAATTTTTACTATAGTCCTAAGGGGATGCATTTAGAGAGGGTTGACTGTATTACTAGCTAAAGATATGCTTATTATTTTAATAATATAAATAAAATTAGTTAACAGTTTAATAAGAACAATACAAAATATCATATTTGTTAAAAATAAGGATCGTTTTTTCTTTCTATAACAGTATTTATTAGCTTTAAAAAATATGAAATTTCTTTATTTTTAACTCAAAAGATATTAAAGTTATTCTTATTAAGCTTATTAAATAGATATAAAAAAATATAAAATATAATATTTATGTTTACAGGTTCTAATATATTTTACATAGGTTATCACAGTTCATAAAAGTTAAAGACTTACCTTAATAAAGATTAAAATATATTTTAAAAATAAAGAGTTTATAATTAGTCTTTTTTTTATTACAATATTTTGAATATATTCTTTTAATAATATTATTTAACTTCAAAAAACTTTAGTTTTTAAAGAATATAAGAAAGAAAACTTAAAAAAGAATAACTGTTTTCATTTTCTAATAATTAAATAATAATAAATATATATACTATAGTGTTAATGTATATATATAAATAATGAATTATAAATTAAAACTTTATATTATATTATTATAAAACTTTATTATATTATATAATTAAAATATAAAATAAAAATTTTTTTAAAAATATAAAATCATAAAATTTCAAATAAAAACAAAAAATTTTTAAAAATATAAAATCACAAAATTTCAAATTTTTTTTTGTTTTATCTCTTTAAAAATAAAAATTATTTTTTTTATTTTATAAAATTGAACAAGATTTTGTTTATCAAAAAATCAAGTATATAGAATGTGATTTACAGAATAAATAGATAAATATTTGAATATTTATATCATTGTATATAAAATTATATAGTTTTTCATTTTGTTTTAAACTAATAATACTATAAAATAAAGTTAATAAATAATGTTGGTTTATAGATGAACAATTTAAAGTAAATTATCTAAACATTTTGAATTATATTATATACTATTTATAATTTTTTTACAAATGATTAATTATTAAATTAGTAAAATAAATTAAATTTTTTAATATATATATCAGAATATAATTTTTGTATAATTCAGTATTTAAATTCTTAATAAATCAAAATTTATGTATCAATTAGTTATAAAAATATTTGTTTTTTTTGTCTTTATATTTTAAAATACCTAAAATAAAAAAGATAAAGAAGAATTTATAAAACTGATGATTTTTTTGCAAAATCTCTTAGAGATTCACTTTTTTTGCAAACTCTTAGAGAATCACAAATTTTTTTATGAAATCTCTTAGAGATTCACTTTTATTTGCAAAACTTTTAAAAAATTACAAATTTTTTTGTGAAATTTCTTAAAGATTCACTTTTATTTGTGGAGATTTGCAATTATCTGCAAAACTATTAATAATTCTTAAATTATAAGTCATATAATTTTACATCAACTTATGAGTTGGATAGTTTTAAATCTATAAATAAATATTTAGTTTTTTATGAATTATTTGAATTATTTAAAAATTTTATTATATAATCTGTTCTACTTTAATATACTTCTTTAGCTATATTATATTAAATGTTCTCATTGGTTTATTTTTCATTTTTTCAACTTTTTCCCCCTTCTATTACAAAGAGCCCATAAAATCATATGAATTAAGAATTATAAAAATTCTAATTCAATAATATAGTCAACTTTTATTATAATAAACCCTATGTTTTAGACTTTGACTTTACTATAAGGTTATAATAAAAGATTTTAAGAGATTTGATTAGTTAATTTACTATAACAAGAGTATTTTTATTATATTTATTCAAAAATTTGTTATATTAAAAGTTTGTTATATTAAAAGTTGACTGTAATCAAAATTAACTCTAAAAAAACTTTAAAATAAGCAAAAATTCATTAAAATTAAATTAAAAAAAAGCTAAAATAGCTTTAAAAACTAATAAAATTTTAATTATAAGAGATCTTGAATAGATTTAAAGTCAATTTAAAAAGTATTTATAAGTGAACTTTAAAGATCTGATTACTTAAAATAGATAAAAAAACCATTATTATGTTAAAAAATGAAATTATTTATGAAGTTTTAAAATACAAAATTTAATATAAAAGATTATTAATTACTTTTGAAATATGATTAGTTAGTCAAAAAATTCTAAACTAATACTATCAGATTCAAAGACATTAAGAACTTCAAAATAAACTAAAATTTGTAAAATTTTGTTTACTAGAAATAAATTAGCCTTGTTAGTTAAAAAAATTTTATTATAAATTTGATCAATTATAAATTAATTTTATAATATGTAATATTTCATTATAATAAATTTTGTTATATTATTTTATATTTGTTATATTTAATAAAAAAATTAATTTTATATAAAGTCAAATAAATTTATTTTAAATAAAAATATATCTAAAATTGATTAATATAATTAGAAGATTTTAATTCTTATTTGCATAAACAAATTCATAAGATACTTTTATTTTATATACTCTATATATATAGTATACTTATTATATATATTTATTCAAAACTTCTATGTAAACTATTTTTTTATTTTTTAAATTTTCAAATAGTTAGATTTGTAGATGATCTATTTGAATATTTATAAAATTTTGTAATAATCATATTTAATTATATATATAAAAATTTTTTAAAAAAATCTAAAACTTTTAGACTCTTATATTTAAGCTTTTTTTTTTATTTAATTTTATTATTTATTTTATTATTATTTTATTTATATTTTAATTACAAATTTATTTTAATATATACTAAGAAAATAGAAACTATTATTAAGTCTGAAATAATTTTAACTAAAAAAAATTCATATTGATATTTGCTTTATCTAGAATTTTATGCAATTACAAAAATCAATCAGCATTACTCCATTATTGAGTGGATAGATACTAGGACATTTTTCATCATATATAATCTTACACTTCATTTTGGACTAATAATTATATATATTATAATTAATCTTGATCTAGTAATTCTAACTTATTTGAATATATCACTATTTTAATAGTATTTTATTAGACTAGTTTAATCCAGTAACTAACATCAAGTTTGAAATATTAAAGTTTAACAGTACATCTTGATTTATAATAAATAACATATCTAATAATTAATTAAATTGATACATTACATATTTTTTATAGTTTTATTTATATTTTATATTAAAAATTTTTTTATTTATAATCACATTTAATAGTCATTGAATATAAGATATCTTAAATGTGTAATTATAAAGAGAGTTAACTGTAGTTACAAATAATATCTAAAAAATAGTATATTCATTACCATGCTTAAAAGCTTAATTGACTGCAATATATAAAAGACTAGGATTTAAAAAACTTTAAAGAAATAGATTAATTAGAATACTAGAACTAATACTATAATAAGCATTTATAATAAAACAATATGAAAAGAATTTTTATTATATATAAATATTCAAAATTCTTTATTTGTAAAATAGCTAATTCAATTTGAAAATTATAATTATAATTAATTTAGATTAGTTCTAATCCTTTGAATCTTTAGTTTATAGTTGCAGTATTATTTACAATATTATTTATAATTTAACATGTAATATAAGATTTAAAAGGAGAATATATTAACTCTAGAGTATTACAAAATCAAATAAGATAAAATTGAACTGAATTAATCATTAATTCACTCTAATAATAGACAAATTGTTAGAATTTCAGAATAATATTAGCTTATTTACAAATGATAAATATTGAATAAAAATATTAGGATGGTATGTTCAAATTGAATACCAAATTGGTAACGCATAAGGACAAATAAAGCGTGACCAATAATATTTAAAATACTTGAAAAAAACTAAATCATTGAGATAAATATAAAAAATGCAATCGTAGCAATTATGTGATCATATAACAGTTAACTTCATATATATAATATCAGTCATATTTATATATGAGCTGCATCACAAATCTGACACACACTTCAGACATATTCAAGGAGGCAGTTATATGCTATTCTAATCATATTTTTAGCTGTTAGAAAATTATGCGATCATATATTTATATTAATTAGATATTATTAGTGTTATAAAGAGCTGATGAGAAAAAGGGACAAAAATAAAATTTCAGTAAATTTGAAGATATGAGTAATTGGTTTAAAATAAAGAATTCAGTAGAGTATTAGCAAAATACGTTGATTTAAAAGAAATAACAAATGAAAGGAGATAAGTTAGTAGAACTCAAGTTTAATAGTCAAAAAATGCTCTGTTTACCATATTTTGATTCAATTAGATATCTAATAATCGATCTGATGCATAATTTGTTTTTAGGAATTGCCTATTAAATTATAAAAAGATTGTAAAAAAATAACAAAGAAAATCTCAAATTGATGAAAGCAAAATCAAAATTTTAGCTAATTTAAGTAAAATATCTTATAAAATAGCAACTGGAGAGGGATTGATTTTAGAATATGTCATACCTCTATATAAATGCTAATGTATTTCACATTAAAAAATGGCACATTATACCAGTTGGTTTCTGTAATCAGATACCGGACTTTCAGATATATTACCGGGAATTTAGATGAGATTTATCAATAAGATCTGAGTCTCGAAATTTACCAGGTTATGGTTATAGGAAACAATTTATTATAAAATACCGAAAAATTGAGTCAGGGTTTCAAAAATTACTGGGCTATCAGACATTATTAAAAAAATATTAATAAATACTGTGAAAAAAATCAATTAAAAAAAATCAATTAAATTTAAAAATAGTGGCTAAATTCAATACATCCATCGGAAATAAATAAACAATTAAAATAAAAATAATTAAAATAATTACTGTATATTGAATATTAATAAATCGCAGTATCAAATTTTAATAAAACTAAATTAAATTCAATCTGAAAAAAAATCAAAAAAAAAAATAATTCAAAATTCGCGGGGTATATTAATATTTATTTTAATTTTATTAAAATCTTACGTTTTTTCCCGTCGTGAGGCATCGTCCGGGTAGAATTGCTAGTAATTTAAAATATTATGTTTTAATATATGATAAAAATAAAAAAATGAATTTAATAATAAGAAAAAGAAGATACAGTATCTTTAATATAATTATTTTAAGTCAATTGATTAATGATTAACATAAAAAACAGATCTAATTATTAGTTTAAGCTTAAAGTTTATATTAAGCATCAAAATTTTTATTGGTCAGATTTTGTATTACCTTAAAACCTGATTTCCTCCTCGAAAACGATTTCGATCTCTCGGAAATATTTCTTCAACAATGGCAAGTAATTTATCAATCTTTTAAATCAATAAATTTATAAATTTGCCTTTATAAGTGACAATTTATAAATTTTGTATAGGAATTTATTGTGCTTTTTCCAGAGTTGTTTTAAGAAAGTTTTGTTTTTAATTTAGAGTTTACAAATTACACCTGCTATCGAAAAACAAAAAGGTATACCAAAAAAGCAAGGGCTGACTTTTACATTCTTTCGTTACTCTAATATTTCTTTTCTGGCTAATATAGCACACAAAGCACCAATATGGGCGGTTCGCTGGTCACCAACCGGCAATGTGGTTGCTTCCGGGGGTTTAGACAATGAAATCAAAATTTGGTTTGCTCTCTTTTCTTGTTACATGTATTATAATAAAACAAATATTAAGATAAATTCTCTCTTTTTTTAATCAGGGATGCGGAAACTGGAGACTATTATCGTACTCTCGAGGGACATATATTAGCTATTACGGGTTTAGATATCAATGCAACAGGCGAAGGTAAGTAATTTAATCATAAAAATGATATATTGTTTTTTTTCAATTATTTTAAAATTTTTTAATTTTAGCTCTCATCTCAATTTCATTCGATAATACTATTAAAAGATGGAGTATATTAGAAGGTGTTTTGATAAATGACATAGAAACCAAACCAGGTACAGTAATACATTACTTATAACTTTCTATTTTTAAAAAATTTAACAATTACTTTATATCCTTTGTTGCAGGGAAAGTTTGTTGTGGACAATATACCAAAGATGGTAATTACTTCGCCACTGCGTCACAACAGGGAACTATTGATCTCAGAAAAGATTCCAATCTTGAAGAAATCATCAGAACATATACTTCTGAGGGAAAATATGGTTTATGTTGCCGATTCGTATCCTTCCATTGTTTTTCTTTCTTTTTCTTTCTTCTTTTTCCGACCTTTTTTTTTCTTAACTGCTTTTTGGGGGGTGTCTGAAGAGTCCTGATAACACTGTTCTGGCACTTGGCACTGATAACGATAAAATTTATTTGTTTGATGTTGAAAGTGCGAGAATGATTCATAAATTGACTGGGCATTCAGGAAATCCCATACGTTCTTTGGATTTTACTTCGGATGGAAAACATCTAATTTCTGGATCTGACGACGAAACTATCAATATATATGATGTGTATATATATATATTTTATCATTAAATTTATGTATGATATATTTATTGTGTAATATTAATAAGTTTTTGATAAATTTTCTAGGAAACATGGTAATCAAATATCAAAATGTACTGGGCACGAAGGATATGTTATGTGCGTTGCGGCTGCTGGTGATAATAAACATTTTGTAAGCGGGTAAGTATAAGTAATTTAAATACAATTTTTTTTTTTTTTTACAGATTATTTATTTAATGTGTTATTATTAGATCATCTGATTGTAAGATTAAATTATGGCAACTTCCTGAAAAAAATGAGAAAGCGCAACTTGTTGAAACAATTGAAGAGCATAAAGAAGCGGTAGATTATTTTTTAGAGATTTTATTTTTTACATAATCGACCTACTAAAACTTGATTTTTTAATAAAAAAAAAAAAAGGTTTCTTGTATTTCTTGGAATCCAGATGGTAATAAATTTGTAATTGGTACTGATAATTTTTTACTGAAATGGTATAGTGCCATTTAAAACAATAAAGGTAAGTAAATTTATTGCGCAACTATAAAGTTATGTGTAATAATTAATACTATTATACAAATTAACGTGTAATTTATTAATTAAATAGATTTATGTTTATATTAATACTAATTAAAGCCAGTTTAAGATACATGCCTTTTATATCTTATTAGCTGGTTAGGATTTTCTTAAATGTGCATCTCTTTTTCATTGAATGAATTCTATGATCAAAATTTACGACGCGTTCAATGACTAAAAAAAAAAAAAAATAGATCAAAATTCATTTTTTTGAAGTTTTATCTTTAATTGTACCAGAATTTAAAATTTCATTATAAAATCTACAACAAATGTTTGCTATCAAAGACTTTTCTTCTTTTCACAAATAAGTACATAGTTAATGCTTCATTCAATTCATGAATGTAAATAAATTATCCCGATAATCTTGCTTTCTTATTTGGACTAATTTCCTTATTTTCTTCAGATCTTCCTTCACTTCCGCCTTCATTAGTTGTTTCATCGGTTTTACGTTTCTTTTCTTCATCCTTATCCATATCCATATTTGTACTTATTACATTGGTTTCATCAGTCAAGTTGTCATTGCTACCTTCTATATTATCTTCAATATTAACAGCAACTTTTCTTTTGATCAGGGATGTTATATCATTTATAGGTATATTAGATGTTGATGATGACGGACCAGTATTTGTTACGGTATTACTAGATTCAACTGAGGGAGTTAGCATTTTAACATATTCAGCAAGTGCTATTTCGCTAGGTGTCGGTACTGCTTTTTCACGATTGATTTTTGCAGTATTTAACTCTTCGATCTTTCCAATAAAAACAGTTAATAAAAATTAAAGTGACAAATTGAGAAGAATATATAATATAAAGTTATACCTTGGCTTCCATTTCTACAAGAAATTGATCAATTTCATTCAATTTTTTCTCAGTTTCTTCTGTACTATCATCATCACTTTTAACTACTTGCTTCCCTTTACCATAAGTTTCTTGAACGGAAGCCAATTTGTCTTGTAATTTTTTTTTGCACTTATTTAAAACTTCCATAGCTTGTTCGACATGCTCAATGGCTTGATCATTTTGGCTCTCTTCAGTACTTGCAGATAAAGCTAAAGCCAATCTCCAATGAGTATTTTAAAAGGTCAAGGACGTAATCGGTATTGTGTTGAGGCAAATAATTTAAAGATTTGAGTGAAAAGGATATGCTTCGGTTAATTCCATATTATCCTCTGATAATATTTCTGATTTCACTTTCACTGCTTCTCTATAATCCATTACTGCTTGATCAAAATTTTCTATCATTCGCAAAGGTAAAATGAAATATCAATTTTTTAAATATTAAAAAGATCATATTTGGAAGTTAATAATATTTTGATTTCAAACCTTGTTCAAGTGAAATATCTCCCAATTTCATGTGTACTTCGCCAAGGCTTACTTTTGCCTCGTCAGTATTCAGATCCAAATAAATATCTCGAGCAATAACTAAAATATCATTTGCAACATTTAAATCATCATCTTGACCTGTTTGTGATTCGTTTGCTGTTTCAATATGACTTTCGCCTTCATCGAGCTCCTGCTCTAGAACCTCAGATATTTCTTCCGTTTGCCCTTCTATCATTTCATCTTCAAAACCGGGTTCCCCTTCGAAATAAAGATGAGATTTATTATTGGATTGGAGTTCATCTAAAAGATAAAAAAAATATATATATTCAATCAATTAATCTGATTAAATCTTCCATGTTATACTAAATATAATAAATTTATGTAAACCTTCTTGAATTTCTAATGCAATCCGTTTTTCTAACGTATTATCACCAAGGACAGAGGATTGATATATGAAATTTTCAATCAACGCTCGTCCATAATTGAAAAGAACATCGGCGAATTCTTTTGAACGACCATAATGTAGCTCTCTAAGAAAATAAATTCACGAGAAAAAAAAAATATATATATATATGATATAAAAAAAAAAGAACACTTGCTAAATAACTTGCCGCTTATCGGTATCAAAAGTATTTTTATTTTAGAAATAACTCGTTTCTTTAGCTACGCGTCAAAAGCTATGAAACTTTAATGAAAGACACCTAAATACATACGCAAGTTGAGAAGCTTCTTCATATTTAAGCACTGCCGTTTCGTATTCCCTTAACTTAAAAGCCTTGGTTCCTTCTTCAGTTAAAAGTTTAATTGTATCCGGAAGTGAAAGACTTTGTGATAATGAAGCACTTTGTGGTAAAAGTTCAAAATGAACCTGTGCAGAAGAAGTCTCTTCGATGGGAAGTTTGGAGGAGTTACTCATATTTGAATCAAACTTTTAAGAATGTGTTCAAAACTACTTAGATGAGATAAAAGCTAACACAATCGAGACAAAATACCCGTTGTTATGATATCAAGTATGTTGGTCGATTATCGGATTTTTGATCACCAAAACATTTATATACGGTAAATAAACCTACATCCCAGAGGATGTAGCTGATTGGATAATTTCTACGTAATTTTAATGTCCAACTAAAAGCATCAATATTTATTTAAAAGATGAATGGAGTCTTAAATAAGCATATTTAAAATTTAACCTCCACGAGTTTGAGGACAAAGTGCAGAAAAGAATTTTTTAAAAAAAAAGACAATGTGGGTAAATCATTCCTTATATGCAGGATGAGTGGCGCAGCATATACATATAAAAACTCATTTAATGGACTTTTTTTAAAAAACTTTAAATTTTCACCATGAATCGTTCTCTTATCAATACTTTAAGACGAACAAACCTTCATAGAAATAATTTAATAATATTCTCAAGAACTTCTTTTATTTATTCGAGATATTTTTCTACAACAAAAAATCCTAAAACAAACGAAATAACTACTACAACCAAAAAATATGAACAAGCTTCAAATCGCGAGGTTACTTGGTCAAAAAATCAAAGAACAAGGAAAGATGCTATGATAGGACCTCGTTTTGAACAACTTGATCTTGAAGCACAGGTAAATATATAATCTTTGTATATAAATTTATTATTATTTTTGTTTTTTAGAAAAAAAATTTATATATGTATACATTTGTATAGCCGAGGCCTTTGGCTGCAATTGAATTAATTGCTGAAGAGCCAATTCATTATGTAGAAGGAAGGATTGCAGTTTGTCATGGAGGTAAATTTTTTTAAATTATGATTATAAAAAAAAAAAGAAAAAGTAATTAATATTTTTTTTTTTTTTTAGGTGGAGGTGCTTTAGGCCATCCACAAGTTTATATAAACTTGGTATAGTATCATTTATATAACATCAATTTGATTTAATTCTTACACCTTTGATTACAACTTTTTTCCATCTAAAGGATCAACCAGGAGCTCATTCTTGCGGATACTGTAAGTGATTCATTTTGTTTCTATTTATATCTTTTATTATACTTTAAAAAAAAATTTTTCATTTTTTTAATAGGTGGAATAAGATTTGAACGAAAACATCATCATTAATATTTTATATCAATTGGTAATTTATTCAATTTAATAAATAAAATTTTTATTATAACAATATTCTCAAGTTGATATCTTTTAGTCACATCAATCATAAATTATATATGAGATTTGTGAAATTAAAAAAGATAATTCATGTAATTTACTTATAATTTTTAATCAAAAAAAAAAAAATACAAATAATGAAAAAAAAAGTTTTAAATCAAAATAAAGGATAATATGAATAATTTATGCTAAGATATAAAGATAATAATGATAATAATGATAAATGATAATAATAATAATGATAAAATAATAATGATAATAAATGATATAATAAAAAAAGAAAAAAGAAATCCTATCTTATGATCCTATCTTATGATCATATACCCGAGTCATATAATTAAGTCGAGAGAAAAAATTGATTTTAAGAGGATTTCTAAAAAAATATATTCAGATATTCTATTAAATCTGCCCTGATCAAACAAAATATTATCTCGTTTGGTAAATCGCTTTAAATAAATTCTTATTTTTTTTGGTGTTTGGCCCTTTTACCTTAGGTATCGAAGAAATCAAATATATTAATTACTTGAATATAAAACTTTAACGTAAAAGGAGAAATTCATCTTACTTCACAAATTTTAGGTGAGTCCAAAACCCCAACAGCACCGCTAATATGTAAAAGTACGTACTTTCGATCTGGAGAATAAAATAATAAAATAAAGTCTTTACTAAATAAGCGATTAGCTTATAAAAAGTGTTATTAAAATCTATTGATTACCCAAGTTTTATTCAAAGAATTATTATAAAAAAAAAATTCTCAAATACGTATCAATGATTTTGCTAGTTAATCGTCATTATATACAAATGAAAAGGGAGTGACAGCGGTTATCGAGCAAAATTTTAGTAAATTCGCATAATTAACTTGATGGTAACAGGCGTTATAGAAATTTTTGTTTTTTTTTGCACATAAATTTTGGTTTTCTTCTTTGAAGTCCAATAGGTTAGGTATAAAAGGTTCATTGTAATTAAAAAGAAAATCATTTGGTCAAATAAGATATAGGTACATGAAAATAAGTCAAAAATTCAGAATTCTTCACAATCAATCTAAAGAAGTCGAAAAAAGGTGGAAGTAAAAAGTGAAATAAAGAAATGTTCAAAAAGATATTACTATGACGTAAACTAATCGCGCTGGATCTATTCAAAATAAAAGACAAAAAAAAAGGTACAATAATATTTAAAGATAACATATTAGAAATACATTATGTTACAAGAATTGAAATATTCCGGATATAAAACTACGCAAAAAAATAAAATAAAAACCCACCCTTTAACCCACCAAAAATCTCACCTAATGAAATGCCGCTATTTGACAATTATTACGATTTAAAAATTATTGTTTATCGCCAACTTCGGCACAACCATCCTTATCACTGCCACCATCAACATTTAGTTTCTTTTGAACTAATTCACTCAATTCTTCTGTAGGATCATTACTACCTCCAGAGTTAGATACATCCTTATTGGTGTTATCTGACTGATTTGAGATTACTACAGCGGCAGCCGCAGGCTGCCCTTCTGTTCCTTGATGTTGTTGCGGTAAAACCGGTCCAGGATAAATCGGTTGAAAATATCTTGCCGCAGCATATTGAGGACCGAATGTTGGAGAGATTGAACCAGGTGGAAAAGCACTATGTGTTGCGTATAGTGAATGTAATAAACAGTAAACTATTGAAAAATCATTGCACTAAAAGTGTGTTTATCTTACCCAGCAGGTTGAACTCCCTCTGGGAAATACTGAAGGTAAGCACCAGGTCCTGGTGGTGATCCAGGAGCGGCCATTCCCAGCATATGCTCAGGAGTAACAGGAACTTGAGACATAATTTGCTATATATTAGGATAATATAAATTAGTGTATGATGGAACATTTGAGCCGTGTGTCTTATTAAAACCCGGTAAAATTATACTAACTCCGCCTAATGATGCAAACTCGCGTGCTCTCCACATCCGTTTTTTGGCAGTTTGTCCTTTCAACTTCTTTTGTGCCAATGAATCAGCAAAACGAACTTGCAAAGGTAAGCCCGCTCCAGGAAGTTGATGTCCATTGAATTTTTGAATGATAGCCAAAGCAGAATCACGATCTTCCATCCTTACGCATAAATAATAAGTTTCAGAAGTTAATATTGACATAATATGATAGTGCTCGGGTTATTTTGTTTCCGGATCACTCTGAACATCATTAGGATCTGATGAAGAATTTAACCAATTATTTTATTGGTTGTACAAACATAAATTTACAGGACATAATTAACTAGGCTGATCCGGAACAATAAATTGAACAGATAGCCGCAACAAATGAAATTAATCTTTTCTGCAATCCATAAGATTCCTAATCTCGATGTCGCTCATAATTTTGCAATTTCGCAACTGAAGGAAGTAAAAAATTCGAATGAAAAATACCTGGCAAAACCAACGCCACGACTTGTTCCATTAGTGTCTCTGAGTATCCTGTTAGAAACAACTTTGTGAGGATGGAATAGCTCCTCAAGTTGCTGTTGTAGGAAAACAACAACAATCAGTTGGCGTTTTTAGGTATTGCTATAATCAAAATAATATGCATTTGCTCTAAACCTGTTCATTCATGTCCAATGGTAAGTTTGACAAATATATATTTGTTGAAGCCAAATCCTGAAGATTTTTCAATCTTGTACTAAAAGATTCCTATTAATTAACAAACAAACAAGCAAGCGAATAAACAAAATCATTTATTAAAATTGCAAATTAATCATAATTATTAGTAAACTTCATACAATTAAATGTAAAAATAAAGATAATAAATAAGAACCGCAATCATGCTTGTTACACTCACATAACCAACCTTAGCGAAGGAAACTTGCAATCCCAATCGCGTTAATTGTTCAATGGCATGCTTGGCTTGATCTTCAGTTTCATACATCACGAAGCCATAGCCTTTACAATCACCTTGTTTTTGATCGATAATAGCCTTTGAAGAAGTGATGGCACCATATCTATTAAAAAAAAAAAAATTATTAAAATATATATTTCATATTTCGACTCTAATATATTTATAATGAAATGATATAATATGCTTCATACAATTCCTTTACAAAACAAAAAAAAAATCGGTATAGAAATAATTATAATTTGCATGTTCTATGATTTAATCTGTAAATATTTGTAATTATACTAGAAAGATGGGTAATGTGATATCATCCAAATCAATTTTGTTTATAAAATCGAGAACTTACATGGAACACATAGAATGTAAAGATTCATCGGTGGTGGTATGTGGTAAACCACGAATATAAATATTAGTGGTCTTTGTAGGATTATTATAATTAGGGAGATTGGGAATTTGATTAGAACCAGAATTTCTTCTGCCATAATTATAATGAGTTGCTTGAGAACGATTGATTCCACGACTACTATTTAAAGGACCAACTTTAGGTGAGGGAACTCCTGGACCGGGAAGATATTGAGGAGGTGGAGAGTTAGGAGCAGAGGATGAAGTATGTGAAAGGGTAGGGGAGAGTGTGTGCAACATCCCGTAAGGAGATTGCGGTGAATATAAATATGGATGCATTGGGGGTGAATGAATTATTCCGGTTGGGCCAACTTGAGGAGACGTAGGATAATAAGCTATTGGAGGACTAGTAGCAGTAAAATAAGGACTCAAAGGTTGTGGAGCTAGGGACGGAGAAGTTTGACCTTGAAGAGAGGGTGTTCCAGAATATGCAGTACCATAATCGGCGGAATAGAATTGAGAATACTGCGGATGCATTCCATATTGACCATACGCAGCGAAAGCGTTAGGATCACTAACATCATATCCTGCTGCCATAGCAGCTTGGTATGCCTCAGCAGCGATAGCGGTTTGTTGGTCTACATAACTTTGAGCTGCACCATTGGTATAATAAAAATTTGGTGTCGGTGATAAGGGAAGGGAAACGGCAGGATTTGGTGTAGCATTCGAATTATATTCTCCGTGCGCAGTTGTTTTACCGTTATCTTTCTTTTCAGAGTTTGTTTCTTTTGAATCGTTTCCGGCTGAAGGAGCATTCGTGTTGACATCGATTTGTTTACTTGTTTCCGTAGCCACGGAGTTGGAGGCATCTTTTTGTGTAGTCATTATTTGATAAAGTCCTTTTTTGAAAAGTGTGTGTCAAATATTAGAAGATAAAGTAATAGTCGTCGTCTCAAAGACCGTAGATGTATTTTCCCGAAATTTATCTTATCTCTTTTTTAAAGAAAACCTTAATATTATGGTTTTTCCTTTCTTTTTGTCTTTACGAAGTTAAACTCGGTGATCAGAATTTTAAATTAGATCTTCGGTTTAAATGTAAAATAGTAAATAACAGCCGCTTAGTTCCGTCACTATAATTTTTTTCTAAATCGTTAAAAAAAAACTAGTAAAAAATAACTCCGAAGATTCCTTGGACGGCTTAGGGACAGTCTTTTAGGTCGTCCACTGAAGAGAAAAGTGGGGGCAAGCTGAGGGTGCTGAGTGGGGACGTTAAATCGGAGCCCACCACAGTCAGTGGAAAAAAAAAAAGTGCGTAAAAAATTCAACGATTAAATTGTATTCTTTTCCTGTTTGTGAATTGTGGCTATTAATGCGGAATTGATTTACATGAAAATTTCCAATTGTATATCCTACTTTTTTTATCCGTTTTTAAGGATGTATCATATTATTAAAATATTATTAATAACCAACCATAGTATATTTAAAATATATTAATAAAAGTATAGAAATATAAACTTTTAGTATTTATATAATAAATAATTTGAAGATTATAAATTTAATTAATAATTCTATTTAAAAATAAATTATTTAAATTATTTGATAAATTGTTTATAAATAATTAGTATATAAAATTATTCTTTACCTTCTTTAATTTTTTTTTATAGTGATTTTTAATATCTTTCTTATAATAAATTAAGATACTACTTTACTAAAATTATATCTTCATTTATAGTATTTTATTGCTTATAAAATTTATGATATTCAGTTTACTATATTAATATTTTATAATTCTTATAATAAATTTTAAAAATAATTTTTTACTATATATAATATTAAAATTTTAGTAAAATAATATTATATAGAGATTATCTCTTAGATTATAGGGGTTTATAAGCAAATTTACCTGCTTATTTAATAAATTTCCTTTTAATTTACTTTTACAAAAATAAAATTTTTTTAAATTAACTTTATAAATATATATATATTATAATAATTTTTATTTTTTAAATTATATACTGTAATAAAAAATTTAAAGTTTATTTATAAGCTAAAAATTTGTAATTTTTAAAAAATTTTTTTATTAATCTTTAACAAACTTATTAAAATTTACTTTTAACAATATTAATAATAGAATATTATAAACTTTATTATGTAATTAACTTTATTTATTATAATTTTTATGATTATTATAATTTATATTAGTAATAAAATGATTTAATTAATTCATAAACATATGAGTCTCCAAGAAATTTTTAAAAAATTATTACAATAAATTTTTTAATACTTAATTTTAAAAAAACTTCTTATTAAACTTAAAATTTCTTCTAAATAAATTAATAAAATATTTATTAAACTATATTTTTATATAATTATTAATTTAAAATATAATAAAAATTTATATACAATTTATATTAAATAATACAAAAATTTTCTAATATATACTCACATAAAAATTGAGTTAATATATGATTAATCCTTTTTATTATATTATACTTTAAAATAATAGACTATTAAATATTATAAGTTAATTTAAATATTATTGAAAGCTAATAGAATACATTTTGTTAATTAATAAAATTAATAAATTAGAAATAAACTATTATACAAATATTTAAATTTAAATTAGATAGATAAATTAATAAAACTATAATAGAACAAAATTTTAGCATCAATAAAATTGATTTAATAATCTAGAATAATAATAATAAAATCTATATTAAAAGAACTATATATAAACATAAAAGTAGAATTAAAATATGAAAAAGGAGAAGATAATTAAGTAAAAATTTATGTAAATAATCTATTAAAAGATAAGTAAATATTTATCTTTAACAAATATTTAAAATTATTTAATAAAGAAATTATTATTAGATCATTATTAATAAATCTATAGTAAAATAAAAAGTGTTTGTATAGTAAGCTGATTATTAATAATAAAAATAAATTAAACTTTCAAATAATATAGTCAAAATAACTTTAATATTCCTTTTAAAAGATATAATTTTTTATAATTAATTAAAAAAAAATAAGTAATATTAATAAGTTAAAAAAGATTTATATCAACTAAAGTAACATAATAAAATCTTTAAATAAAAAGTAATATTTGATTTTTTTATAATGTATTATCAAATAACAATTAAGATAAGCATTAAATATAGTTATTCTTTTTTATAATCACATCTCTTAAAACTAAAAATAAAAAAGTGTAATTATAACAAAAAGTGACTATATAAAAAGAATTTTATATATTATTACTAAGTGTTAATTCTAAAAAGATATAGCTATAAAAATATTGTAATTATAAAGGAGTTTATTTATATAGTATTAATAGATATTAGTTCTTATGAAATATATATTTATAATGAGAAATTTATATAATATGATTATATAGAAGATAATTAGAAATGCTAATAGTCATGATCATAATCAATCATAATTAATTATAATTGTAACTGATATCAATTAGTCAAAAGCTTCTAACTAACTGATTGACTAACTGATTTTAACTAATTTTGACTAATCAATTGACTGACTGACTTGAAACTTAACAATCATGTTTTAAATAGTAAAATATTTTATATTAAAATTAACAAAATCAATATTTTATTTTAATTATCTATAAATTAAAATTTTGAAATTTTGAAAAAAAAATTAAAATCTGTAATAATGCTATATTACTATATAAAATTAACAAAGTAGTTTAAAAAAGTACCATATTAGTATTATTAAAGTAAGAATCAAAATTATAACATTTAGCTAAATTAAAACTTTCTATTAAGCTAAAACTACTCAATTATATTACTATTAACTAGTTAATTAATCAGTCAGTTAAAATCAATCAGTTAATCAGTTGATCAGTCAAAGTTTTTTGATTGACCGTTGATTGAATATGACTGACTGTTACTATCATTAAAGATAATATTAACGTGTAATTCTTACAAACTATGACTGTTAGACAGAGTATTCAAGCAGTTTATTCTTTTTAATTGAGCAGTAATCTTTCAACGGTTTGTAACTTTAATTTAGACAATTTATCAAAAGTATTTATATGATTACAGTGAGTCACAATTCAACAGATTGCCAGTAAATTGTATTTATAAATAATGTATTTATTCACGAGTAAAATAATAAAAAGAAAAGA